CTTGACGCTAACCTCGTCTCATGAACATATTGATTCCCCTTTTGTTTGTTTTATTTTGTTGTTTTCTTTCCCTCCGATTGCGTGTTTGACCTCTGATTTGTCCATCATCTCTTGTTTTTCCATTGTCCTTGTCCCGTGAAAGAATTGCTTTTTTTTCTCCTCTGATCTATAGTATTTTTTAAACTCTTTTTGTCCATCATCTTGTTTTGGTCTCGGAGTGCGGGACGACATGATCTGTCAATATATATTCCTCGGCCGAAGGGGCTTTCTGCTTTGATTCTATCTGAGCATTCCATGTTCACATTCCGTGTGATCAGATGTGGAGTAGATCGACATGACGTATAGAAGTCTGATGTAGAGCGGATCTCCAAGTCCGAAGCTGGAGGCCTGGAGCCCGATGGAGTAAAGTTCCAACAAGCATATATATCGCTCCCGCGCTAGGTAAGAGTAGAGATAACGTGCCATCTTCGCTCAGCCACATGGCTATGCTATACAAATCATACAAGCCATCCAACCCCGGACCAACGTCCATCCTACTGGCTATAAACATGCTCCGTATCCGATGGAGGATCCAACTCATCTTCCTTAACAACCAACTTCCCCTCTACACCAACCTCAACCTCCGCAACCAATGACTCCAAATACGCCTTGTCAGCACCCACAAGCGTGACCGTATTCCTCTTCTTCCCCCAGCGCGGATAACTGCCAACCTTGATGCCCTTGGGCTCAACCTTGGCCGCCAACTCCGTCAAATACGGCGCAACAGCACTCTCCGGCAACGGGGTACTGAACAAGTACCGGAACGTACCCTTGCCCTCGGGGTCCGACAAGCGCGGGACAAGATGGGGCTTCAAGTTGAGCAGGAGGCGCTCGAAGAGACGCGGTACGCCGGGGAGAATGTGTACGTTTCCGTTTACTACGGCGATGGGCACCCACATGTCGTCCGCGACGAAGAGGGCTTGGGACTCGGCGGGCAGTTTGGGGTCGTAGGGGAGTTCGACCATGCGCAGTTTTGCGGTCAAGTTCGGGGAGGGGGTGTTCCAGTCGAAGTTTGGTTGCATGGGGTGGGGTTTGGAGAGGCGTTTCATGCGTTCGAAGGCGGGTTCGTGGAGTTGCAGCTTCAGGTTGAAGGCTTTGGCGATGGATTGGTAGGTGATATCATCGTGGCTGTTGCAGGTGAAAGCGCGTTAGCATTTGGATCGTAGTCATGGGAGATATGCGCGGGGCCATGGGGAACCTCGTGGGGCATTTCCAAGGCAGACAAAGCATCAGGCAGAGCAAGGGAGGACTAACGTTGGGCCAATACCTCCGCTCGTGACGACAAAGTCATAGCGGGCGCTCATACGACGCACTGCCTCCATGATATCCTCCTCATCGTCGGGGATGACCTCCACGCGCTTCAACTGAATGCCGAGACCGAAGCAGAACTTGGCCAGGTAGGCAGAATTGGTGTCGATGGTCTGTGAATTCGGGGTACAGCTATAGTTAGTGCCATTGTTATAGCTTCTCAGTCAGCAGGGGTGGTATGCTAACCTTCCCACCGAGCACCTCATCACCAATGATGAGGCATGCCGCCGTATGAATAGGCTTCAAGCTCGCGACTGATGTCATAGCGGACGGACCGGAGCGCCGGGTCAGGGACGAAGTTGAAAGAGTCGGATTAGCTGGACGGATGGAACCGAAAGGGCGGGCAAAGTGGCGGGTCAAGAGATTGAGTCGGTTGAGCATGAAGAAATCGACAATGGAGAGGAAAAATGGAGGGGGTGAAAAAGGAAAAAGCGCTTTGTCTGGAGATCGGAAGGGGGAGATCGATCGTGGTCAAAGTGGGGAGAGAGGGGGAAAGACTACTCCGCCCGCATTATTGCACATCCCGTCTTTCTCCCGCATTTCTTCGTGCGCCCCTCAACTCCGCATAGACTGCGCGCCGGTGATATCTGAAATCCCCAGGATATTGACAGAGTTGGACTTGTCGCGTTTCCGTGCACATCATCTGCGAATCCCGTTGCGCGCCGTTGTCCGCACATACATTCCGTCATGGTGAGATAGCCAGCCTCCATCCCCACCTGGACCACAGATCGGATTCTACCATATGGGGTTGAACTGGGGATCTGTGTAGCTGATTGTTGTTGTATCGCAGCCCGGTCTATACTCATTCTCTCCGGAGACGACAGAGAAGCTGCGCAAGTTCCGCCTGAGCTCGTCGCGAGCCAAGGATCCCCAAGCCCAGATTTGTACGGACCCAACACGTTTTCTCGAATCCTTTCCCCCAATTCCCTGGTGACCTGGTTTCCTTGGTCCTCTTCGATAATTGAAGGATAAGATATCATTTCCATGCTCATGCGACCAATATCGCACCCTTGTTGTGTCCGAGCGATCGATCCTGGTGCTAACCACGTGCTCAACAGATGAGATCGATAAGAACACCGGAGAGATTCGGCCCAAGAATGACGAGACATACACGAACATGATGGACGTAGCTGACGACCTGCCCGAGACCACGCCGCAGTTCATCGTCCTCAGCCACCCCTTGACACTGGTGAGTCGTCCTCCTCAACCGCATCGGACCCCACGTACATCGTACTGATGCAGTACTCTGCTTATCTAGAAGGACGGCCGTCTCTCTGTCCCTTATGTCCTCCTGTACTACAAGCCCGAGAACTGCAAAACCGACACTATGTATCAGTACGCTAATGCGGTGGAGTTGATGCGCACCACGGCGGGAGTCAACCGACTCATCCCCGTCGAGAGTGAAGACGATGTTATTTCCATCGCGTCGAAGCTGGCTGGCGACGAGTAAGGTCTATAATAAACACGGGTCATTGCTGAACTCGGGTGACGATCTTCTCTGGATGGTCTATATCTGGAATATGTGGAGGCCAAGGGGACTTTTGCATAGGGGCGGGCGTTTGACAGAGAACAATCATGACAGTTAACTTATGGATGGAATGGAACGCAATGTGACAAATTATGCGCACACAATTGACAGCCGAATAACCTGCAATTTGAAAAATAGCCCATGAGGTAGGGGATCCCAGGAAGCTTGCTTATTTTGCTTCCGCACTAGAAGACGGATCCGCTCTGGATGAGATCTATCACAAAGATGATGTGCAACGGCGCCACCTGCAGCCTTCTCGGTGGTCGCACAACCCGGGACTTGAGAGTCTTGACAGCCCAAATTTGAGTTTATGTCTTTTACCGAGCGATCTTTGCATGACTCCTACCTAATCGGATTAAGCCTGCTATCTTACCGATCAAGATCGTACGAGTGCCGTGACAATTGCTCTTCTCCTGCCCCTTTTGGATCACGCCCAATGGAAACCTCCCACTAGTTCTTACCTTTCCCCAACCTGAATCCACCAAGGCTGGCTCAGGTAGCCCCATAGGCGCCCC